AAAGTTCAACTGGTGGGACTTCCAGGGGAGGTATGATGAATTGAAGATAGTTCTGCAAAAGTAGAGCGAACAACCACAACAAGGACCAAGAAATCCGTGAGTAGATCAGTCCCTTGGAACCTCTCCAGATAAGGAGAGGATGGGAGATCACCCACATGTGCTCCGGACAGCTGCTCCTCACCAAGAAACCACAGGTCATTGGTTTTCCATGGGTTTGAGCACCAGAAGACAATGGGATTAACCTTTTTTTTTTTTGCAGCCGTGGCAGAGACTTTTAAAGGACACTAAGTTTGCAAAACTCACTTTCTAATAACTTTCAGAAACTGTTCATTAACTACTTTTAAGCTAATAGAGACCTTCAGAACAACAAGTTGAAAACACCAGGTGAGTCTACCTTCCATCCTGAACTAAAGAAAATTTTAATCATAAGCTTAACAATTTAAAGAATCTGAAATAAATAGCAAAAAGCTAAATAAGATTTTGATCTTAGACAGTTATAAACAGACTAAGGGTTCAGATAAAATTGGAATATTGAAACTTCTACAGTAAGATTTTGGAATTCATTATAAACAAACAGCTTCTTGTGGGAAATAGAAGCTGTTTTTTGCTGTCTTGTAAAAAGCTGGTTTTTACAAGACATAACAAAGATAAGCAATTTCATGATTTTAAAAACTAGACACTAGAGCGGACTAAAGTTTTTAGGTAGAGGAAAGATTTACAAACCTGTAAAATATTGCATAATATTATAACAATAAAAATACCAAAGGAGACTTTTGAAGAATGGAATCAGAAAATAGTAGCCACAGTATCAACAATGTCAGTAACAATGTCCGCTTCTATGGATAGACTATGTCCAAAAGATGTTATTGAAGAAATGACAGATGTAGATCAAATTTTGCCTGACAAGATAGAGATATCGAAAGTGGATTTATAACTGACAGGCCAAGAGAATGACTTAGAAAAGGATGTTTCACTGGATCTACAAAAGAAACTGGCTGAGGTTTTAAAATTTAAAAGGGAAATACAAATGACAAAACTGGATCTTCAAAAGAAACTGGCTGAGGTTTTAAAATTTAAAAGGGAAATACAAATGACAAAACTGGATCTTCAAAAGAAACTGGCTGAGGTTTTAAAATTTAAAAGGGAAATACAAATGACAAACCAAGAGAGTGACCTGGATAATTTTGTTCCTATTGGATTTACAAAACAGGTTTTTTAAAGCCTTGAAGAACTCTTATTTGAATGAACTAAAGATTAAGACTGTTAGAAGTAAAAGGAAGGAATATAAGGTTGGTTTATTTGATCAAGGTTAAAACAAGATATGTTGTTATTTCTGGCAACCTTTTATGGACTTTCCGCTGACACCAGGACTGGAAAGATGATGCTTTATGGATTTGTTTATAGAGATGGGATATGGGATGAAGAGATAAATGGTGGTAACCTTAAAAGGGGTGAAGAGTCACTAAATCTGTTTATACTTGTGACGAAGGTTGAAGTTACTTCTTCATATATTTCTTTTCTCTTTCTTTATTACATTTTTACCGTTCTCTTCCTTCTTCCTTCTTTCTTGCACTTTTTACTCCTTCCGTCTATTTTCTTTTCTTTCTTTTAGTTTAGTTTGTATTAGATTTTACTACTGTAATCCAAATTCTTAATAAAAATTATATACAGAAAGTTCAACTGGTGAAAAATGTAGCAGCCTGTATACTGTGAGTGACTACAGCAGTCCTATACTTAAAGTGCTGCATTGGTTTCCAGTTGGTTTCTGGATAAAGTTCAATGTGCTGGTTATTAGCTATAAAGTACTATATCCAGTTTATCTAAAAGACTATTTACTTCAGAGAAATCCACTCACCCTGTTTGATCCAGCCATGAAGGGGGGCTCTGGGTTCCCTGCTGGGGTGGGGTGGATCCCTCCCATTTGGAGGTCCTGGGGTGGAATCATCTTGGTGGTGGGGTGAATCCGGAAACAGGTTTTTCAGTAACTCCCCCTCCCCATTTTCATGGAATATACTGGTCTTTGACATCTATAGGGCCTCCAAAGTCTTTTTGTTTGACTGAGCAATAAAAACCTGGCCCTTCAAGAGAGAAGTTGGCGATTGAAAATTGTGATGTGGGTTTGTTTATAGTCTTCATATGTGTTTTTGTCATCTCTGGTTTTTATTGTTACATTTCTGTTGTGATGGTGGAGAAGACCATGATAATGATTTTATCCGTTTTTTACTTTGATGCTAGATGTCCAAAGTCTCTGGAGCTGTATAGGATACAAATGTTAGTAAATAACTAATTAAATAAATGAACTAATTGACCCAGTTACCGATAGGCAGATGGTAATAAATGAGCATGTTGACAATTTGGGAGAAGCTAAAACCCTTTTTAGACCTATGATATAATTAGCATTGCTATTATGCAAAAGCATCATATAGACAGTTTCTTTTGAATACACACATTTTTCTGGTTCAGACCATGTGTTCCAAAATTCTGGGAGTGTTGTGATTATGCTGCTAATGTATTGCATCAAGAGCACAGTTTTTATCACGTTTGCTTTGCTCAGACTGTACCCAGAGATACAAATCTCTGAGGGTCCTGCCTTTATAGCCCTGCTCTGTCCTGCAGGGTAAAAAGTGACAATTATCAGAAGAGAAGCATCATTTTTGCTTTAAGGGGAAGTAGTCCAGTGTTCTGTTCCCAAAGCAACCGATACAAGTGAGAAGAAAAGACATTTGTACCTGTAGAGAGGAAGCATCACTCGGTGATAGTGCAATTGCATTTTTTTAAAGAAAAGGGGAAAAAAGACACACTGGAGAAAGGGGAAGTGTTTTAGCAGCCAGGTTGTAAGAATGAGCCTGTAGCTGCAGGGCTGAGACTGTAGGGTGAAATGTTAAAAGTCTCAAACCACTTCTCTAGAAGTTCCCAGGGTCTATATACTCTGGTACCATGTTCTTGACTTATTATAGCTGCTTAGAAATTACTGCTGTCACCACCTAATTTTTATAGAACACTCTATCTGGCATCCTTCCCCGAACCCCAGCATGGAAACAGATACAGCTCCCACATCCTATGTGCCTTACTGACAATTAATAGGGGAGAAAAAATGAAATGAATTCTATAGTGCCATCTGCTGGCCATCTGCATTGAAGCCTGTGAAATTAGCCTCCCTCACTCCCCCTCCCCAGGGGAGACAGATCAATTTCACAAGGCATAAACAGAATCAACTTCTATTTAAAAAAAAGGAAAAGCTAAAAGCTAAAAATTCAGTTTTAATTTTAGTCACTTGCAAAAGATTCAGCGGTGGAAGAGATAAAAATGCAGAGCTCTTAAGTATGAGCTAAGGGGAGGTCTTAAATACCATTCAATTCCAGCCTGTCATCCAGCAACTTCTGCTTGATTTTTAAAAAGACAAACTTTTTTTTTTCTCTAGTAGAAATGAAGGAGTTGGGATCTATTGGTTGCCTACTTGCCCAAACCCATGTGATTTTGCTTGAAATGGAGAGGATGTGTATTCTCTACCTGGAAAGCAGCTGCCAAATTGTGAATGTCGGGTGGTATCCTGGTTGTTAAAGAATAACACCTCATACATTAAACATCATACATCAAAAGACTTTCTAACACTTCATACATCAAAAGACTCTCTAACAGAATGAAATGAAAAAGGGCAGTGTGTAATAAAAGATAAACAGTGGAAACGGAGGAAACAAAATGGGTCCATATTGATTTGCCCATTGGCAAGCAGCACAAAATGTCTGGTAGCTGCAAGGATAACAAGCAGAAATTGCAGAGTGTTGCCTATTTATGTATGTATGTATGTATGTATGTATGTATTTATTTATTATCACATTTATATAGCTGCCCAACTCACAGAATGTGACTCTGGGCAGTGTACAATAAAAACACATCATAAAAACTAACAATTAAAAAAGCATTCTACAACCAAAAACACCAGTCAAAGTTACCAGTGACAGAGTAGCAGAGTTATCATGATAGGCAATACAGCCATCTCACTAATTCACCACTACCTTGAGATCCCCAAGCCTGATGACATAACCATGTTTTAAGGGACTTCTGGAAGGATGTCAGGGGCAAGGCCAGTCTCACCTTGGGCAGAATGATGTTCCACAGGGACAATTTGAAGATTGTGAACAGTAAAAATTGCAGCGGGGTGGAAAAGGGAGATTGCTTTCCATGGAATCATGGTGATCTGAGATGCCATGGATTAGTGAGTCTGTGAGTGCCATTGACCAGATTCCAGCAGCTAATAGGAGTGTGACAGAAGACACATGTGCAGGCCTGAAAGGAAGGCAGAAGCCTGGGCCAGCCACCCTCAGATCCCAGAGAGGAGAAAAAGGAGTGTGCACAGTTGAAAAGAAACTGCTGAATAAGTAAAAGGCGAGAGAAACATGGATGAGAGCTGCTCCAGTTTGAAGGAAGCATGGAGGGAAGTTACTAGTTCACATTGGGAGGAAGAAGAGTGAATGAAAATTGGAATGGATGCTGAGGAAAGATGTACAGTAGATAAATTGAAGGAGAAGTGAAACACAAAAAGGTTGAGGGACAGTAGGTCAACTGTCTTTGTCTCAGAATACTGCTAGATCAACATTTTGAACAAGTGTAAGTATAATTTTTTTAGTGGTGGTCTCAAGTGGGGTTTCATCAGGATTACAGGTCCCAATACCACCCAAAGGAAGAGTTTTTGTTCAGGCAAGGCCCTGGACAGTTTCCCTTGGAACTGAAGGTCCATGCAACTCTTTCAAGAATGCAGAAGATTCCCTTGCCTGCTCTAGAAGAGGACAGCTAAATGTTGAAAGAAAATGATATGCTGGTCAAGTACATTAAGGGAAGTAATGACAATATCAGATGCAGAAAATGCCAAGCAGAAAGAAAAGCACTGGGCTGAATAATCATTTTTCCTTTAAATTTTATAACTATGCAGGGAGAATATATTCTCTAGTAAATTTTTTGGTAATGGCTTGTGAAACTATCTCATTGTTTTCCCTTTACAGGTCTCATATAGAGCTCAGCAAGGAGACACCAAGCAAGCCGTATTCAAGATGGTGATGGTTTGGGTTTTAGCTTTCTTGCTCTATGGACCTGCAATTATCAGCTGGGAATACATATCTGGGCGAAGCATCATCCCTGATGGGGAATGCTACGCTGAATTTTTTTACAACTGGTACTTTCTCATCACTGCCTCCACCCTTGAGTTTTTTACCCCTTTCATCAGTGTGATGTTTTTCAACTTGAGCATCTACCTGAACATACAGAAACGTACCAGGGTCCGCAGGGATGTCCTTCATGAGAGCCAGAATTTCATGGAAGAGACAGAAATGAGCCCAGAGCCCAAGCTTTCCATGAAATGCTGTAAGTGGGAGGAAAAGGATCCAGCCACCGACAATGTTCCAAAGTGGGACATTCCAGAAGAAAATGCCCAAGGAAGTATAAATATAAAGCATTCACAGGACTCTAATACAGAAAAAAAACCTTCTAGCAAAAGGAATTATAAAGACTTGGCATCCACCCTTTCTTTAGAGAAACGGTTGAAGGTGGCTTCCCAAAATATGTCCCAGCGTTTTAGGCTCACTAGGGACAAGAAAGTAGCAAAATCACTAGCCGTTATTGTGGGCATATTTGGCCTTTGTTGGGCACCGTATACACTACTCATGATTATCCGAGCTGCTTGCCATGGCCACTGTATCCCTGAATATTGGTATGAGGCTTCTTTCTGGCTCTTGTGGGTCAATTCTGCCATCAACCCCATCCTCTACCCACTCTGTCACTACAGCTTCAGGAGAGCCTTTGTTAAACTCTTGTGCCCAAAGAAATTGAAGATCCAGCCCCACAATTCTCTCCAAAAATGCTGGAAGTAACCTAATTGGTTAGAAGTAGCCACAGCAAGACTTCTTTTAAGAGGTATGACAGTAAGAGTTATGAAGGATGAAGAAGATACCAAAGGTATACTATCTAGATCATGGGTCTCTATCCTTTGATACATAGATTGTATATGGTCCCCAAGTTCCATTTTTGTAATCCTGAAGCCCTCAAATTGCAATGCTGAAATTTGGCAAAAACATTGAATACCTATATCATGAAAGAAAGAAAGAAAGAAAGAAAGAAAGAAAGAAAGAAAGAAAGAAAGA